AATCAAACAAGCCAACCTGGATGAAAAACTCCGACCGGAACAGGCTGGATTCAGGAGAAACAAATCATGTATTGATCAAATCGCCACTCTACGGATCATCATTGAACAAAGCTTGTAATGGCAGTCACCTCTCTATCTCAACTTCACCGACTTTGAAAAGGCCTTCGACAGCGTCGATCGAGAGGTCATTCGGCAACTACGTCGCTACTACGGGGTCCCATCGACAATTATACACCTCATCCGACAGTTATACGACAATGCTGCATGCCAAGTAATCCACAACGGGAAGCTTACTGAAGCCTTCGAAGTAAGGATGGGAGTGAGACAAGGCTGTCTACTATCACCAATGATTTTCCTGATTGCAGTAGATTGGATAATGCGACAGACAGCGGCGGGCAATGAAGAAACAGGCATAAAATGGACTCACACAAAAATGGAACTTGGAGGATCTGGATCAGGGATTCGGCGATGATATATGTCTGATTTCCCACAAACTGGAAGATATGCAAGTGAAAATCAACAAGCTGGCAGAAGAAGCATCAAAGATAGGACTTCAAGTGAACATAGATAAAACAGAGGTGATGAAGATTCCTGGCCAACACCAACAACAACAGACAACAATCAGTCAGCCAGCATAAATGGGAGGAACCTGAAAGAAACAACCTCCTTCACCTACCCGCCTACCTAGGAAGCATTGTTTCAACTACAGGCGGAACTGACGAGGATATCAAAGCCAGAATCGGAAAAGCAAGACTGGCTTTTACTACTCTTAAGTCTGTGTAAAAGTCAACAGCACTCAGCATCAAAAATAAGATCCGGATTTTCAACTCCAACGTAAAATCAGTGCTTCTATACGGATGAGAGACTTGCACTGCGCGTCATAAAGAGCATCTCAAACAAACTTCAGACCTTCATCAACAGTTGTCTTCGCTCAATACTCAAGATCAGATGGTCAGTCAGAAAAGATCAGCAATAGGGAGGGATCTCTGGGAGCGGACCAACCAGGAACCGATTGTGAAACAAATAGGCACGAAGAAATGGAGATGGATTGGCTAACCATACTCTGAGGAAACAAGCCATCAAGTGACATCACTATGCAAGCCATCGCTCGATTGGAATCCGGAAGGGAAGCTGCGAGTTTGTCGTCAGTGTGAAGGTGGCTTGGAGGCGGAGGTCATGTGAAGAGGAAATGAAAGCATGTGGCAGACTTGGAGCGAGGTGAAGAAGTTGGCAGAAAACCGAAGCCAGTGGAGACGCGCAGCTGAAGCCCTATGTTCCTCCAGGAATTAAAGGATATAATAATAATATAATTGTCAGCCAAGTCTCATAAACCGTTAATGCCCAGCTCTCGCTACGCTCGGGCCCACGCTGTTCTTAGAAGATTTCTCAGAAACGCTTAGTTATAACGGACGCAAAAACCAAAACACCGATCTGCCGTTTGATATTTCTGTATTGTTACACCAACATATAAAAGGAATAAGCGAACTAAGCAAACTAAGGTCTGTAAACAAATATTACAATAATAAATCGTTATGTTACTTCTGACGATGTTTCACTCTTCTTTCTGAACAGCGACCGATGAGACGATGACTGTCGTATTGATGCCTCCGCGAAAATCGAGGAAGTTGATTTTGAGCAAACAACCAAGAATTGATCGTTCAATCTTCAACTCCATTGACAATAATACTGCAAACTATTCGAAACGCGGGACTGACTGAGAATGTTGGAGACGACATTAGGTGGGGCCCTAGTGGAAAGTCATCAAAACTAGACTGCATTCTAAATGGTGACCAACTACTCGTCGAAAAGTTCCAGATCATGATTCCTCTAAGAATTAGTGACCATGCAGCCATAAGTTTCGATCTTGTTCTCCGTGAGCGTTTGAAGTGGGACGTTACGTGATCATATCTGTGTTACAGCAAGGCTGTCTATGCTGAAATGCGGAGGCTCTTGTCCAACACAGACTGGCCCTTAGCATGGGATGACCTATCTGTTGATGAACACTGGGAAGTGGTAAAAAAGATTATTCATATAGCAACCTCGGATACCGTCCCTTTAGTCACAACACAGCCCAAAAGAAAGTCATCAGGGTTGAAGAGAGGCACGTAGCGTATTCTGAAAGCAAAGCGGAAGGCTTAGTTTACGTGACGCGCATCTAAGAGTCAGATCAACCACGATGCATACCTGGAACTCAGGAACCGGTGCATTGCAAGAGTCAGGAGGGACAGGAGGTCATTCCAAGCTAACCTTGCTAAAAACTCCCAGCAAACCCCCAAAACTTGTACCGATCCATGTTGGAAAGAAAACCAACCAACCAGGAGGCATGCGCCTTAGTAGGCCCAAACGGTCAATTCCTCGCTAGTCTGGAGATGGCTGAAACATTCAGTTCAGCCTTCACCAAACAGCTAAACAGTATTGTGGGTATTACAGTTACGGATCAAAATGGTGGCACTACTATTTCATGGAAGGAAGACCTAGTGTGGTGAGAGCAGGCTGCTAGCCGATTGGTTGGCACTAATCTACGTTAAGGTCTAGGTCACTAATATGGGCCGTGAGAAAATATGAACAAGCCTGAGTCAACAACAAATCACAGCAAAGTTAACGTGGCAGAATATGATTCGCAGAGAGAACTCTATTTGTCAAGGAATCCCGAAACAACCAATCAGAAGCCTGCGTTTGTCTACCTAAACAACCAATCAGATGACTGCGCTTGTCTATAATAATGTAGTTGAAAGATGTATAAATACGTGTTGATTTTCATAATAAAACGATCTGTTGCCTGGCCCTTGTCTTCTGTTGTTACACTAGTACTAAAGAAACTACAGCGACTCACACCTGGGAAGTCCCCAGGTTGTGACGACATCAGGTCATCTGTTTTGAAACAGTGCGCCGAAGCTCTTTGTAGGCCCCTGTGCGACTTGTTCCAACACTCACTGGATTCGGGAAAACTGCCAAGAGAGTAGAGAAGAGCCATCCTTTCTCCGATCTTCAAGGGTGGGGATAGGAAAAATGCCACTAGTTATAGACCAGTAGCTCTACTCCCAGTGGTATCAAAAGTACTGGAAAGTATTATTGATGATCACACCTGGGAATACCTCGATAGGTCTAATATACTCCATGAAACCCAACATGGTTTCGGAAAAGGCAGATCCTGCGTTACTAACCTACTGTCAGCTTGGGACGGCCGGGCATCATGCTGGGATATGAATGTACCGGTTCACGTGGCCTTCCTAGACTTCGAGAAGGCATTTGACGCTGTTCACCATGACCTTCTCCTACATAAAATAAGCCAGGCAGGTATAGGTGAGCCACTTCTGTCATCGTTAAGGGACTACCTAGCTGACAGGCAATTTTTCACCAAGGTTAACCGAGTCCGATCATCTTAGCACATCTCGTCATCAGGAGTGTCGCAGGGTTCTATCCTAGGACCACTGATGTTTTTGATTTTTATCAATGATCTACCACGCCGTCTAAGCTGCCCGACTCTCCTATACGCTTACGACGTAAAGATACGGAGGGCGATAAAGTGTCTGGAGGACCCAGATAGGCTGCAGGAAGATCTAAGTCGTCTGGAAGGCTGGGCGGTGGCCAGTGGCATGACTTTCAACCTGAAAAAGTGCAAAGTAGTGAAGCTACGCAACTGTAGACTGCAGAATGCAAGTTGCACCCTGTGCAATGAAGACTTGTCCTGCACAACGTCAGAACGCGACTAAAGTCTAGTTCTAACGGAAAAACGGACACAAGCGTAAATTACACCGGGGGTGTAGCGAGGGCATATGCGGTCATACACTTTACACATAAACAGTTGCGTGCACTCACTCCTGAGCTTTTTCTGAGGTTGTAGAAAACATACGTCAGGCCACACCTTGAGGTGCATAATATTATTGCACCCTCAATGCCTAGAAGAGACGTAAACCTCTTGGAAAGAGTCCAACGATGGTCAACAAAAAAAGTGGTTGGTCTCCGAAATAAACCGTATGACGAAAAGCTGAAGAAATTAGGCCTGTTCACACGTAGCTACTGCTGTCTTATGGGGGATTCAATTACTGCCTACAAAATAACAAATGACCAGCATCGCCCAAAAAAGTTTTCTGCCATTAATTGGGTATAGGCTCCCTCGTGGTAACCTAGAAGGATAGCTCACCAGAGGGCAAGGACCCGGGTGCGCTTCCACTTCTTTTCACTGCGTGCTCACTGCCCCTGGAATTCCTTACCGGCAGATTTAGCTATGGCACAGTCTCTGGGCGCCTTTAAGCGAAGGCTGGACAACCATGCAGCGACACAAGGGCTGAGTCCAAATGACCTATCCCCTTAAAATCTCATACATCATTCAGGGGTAGACAATTAAACTTGTCCATTATGGATTAGATTTTATTTCGATAAATCACACAGTGTTGTACAGTTAAATATATATATATATATATATATATATATATATATATATATATATATATATATATATATATATATATATATATATATATATATATATATAATACATATATTAAACTTGTCGTTTTATTTCTTTCCATTCTCTCCTGACTGACTCTCCTGACAACTTTAACTACACTTATTATTATTATCGTTATTACCGATACATATATGTACATGTATTATTCATATTATTTTTCAAATTTAATCAGCTGACTGTTGTTACGTTTTCCTATCTCTTTTTCTGTCTGTTAGCCTGAATAGCTTCACTAATTATATCTATTATTATTATCTCTTTTCTTTTGACGATGATACCGGAGGACTAACTGACGAAAGGATCAACTCCATTCACAGTAGTAACAGTCTTAACGCACCTCATAATGCAAACCACACATAATTAATCCCAGCATTACTCCTTTTGGAGTCAACCAAAGCTACGACAATCGAGTGGCGGGACGAGCTACGCAGAAGTTTATCGAAGATCAGGAACATATACCTTACAATGAAGAAGCGAGCACAAATAAATCAAATCGGTTTATACTAGCTCGTAAAAATGATATTGGATATTGGACCGACCTTCAGCGAAGGCGGCTAGTGCAGGTCGGCCGTTCAAGGTCAGCATTGGCGTGAAGACCAAGCATTTTCACACATTTTATGCATACTTGTGCTAGTTGAATGTTAATATTTAAATCACATAAAGTGGAAAATTTATTGGGATGCGTTTCTAGTGACGTTTTGGCTATACTTTGTAGTTTCAATGGAATTTATACATTCAGATGCAGATTTATCCTTACTATAATAAGGATAGAAGGCGCTTGTTGTCTATTATAATCCCTGCAATATTTATATCTCTCCAGTGATATCATTTCTCTTCGCAAGGGGTCGCTGAGGTAGTTGTTACTTCTGAATCAGGCAGGGAGTTCCAGTCGTTGATACTCTGTGTGCGAATCTTTATTCACACGTATTATATTCGTCCTTGGTGGCGACCTCACAGGTGTATCCAAAGGGGGAAAAGTATTGGAAACGTCATTTACTAAATCACCCTTTAATATACCGTATGCCGAAACCCAGTTGTCTCCTTTTTTCTGTAGGATAATGGGAAGGGTATGCTCCATCCTCTTGTCATAAGGAAGGTGTGAGACACCACTATTGTATGTATTACTCCAAGATATGTGCCTACTTCTTGAAGCATGGACTCACCGCTTGTATTCTGTGGCAGTCTATCCGAAACGTCTCCCTCCCTGTCACAACAAACCGGTCCCATAGGTTCTTTAAAGCGAATTCGCTTTCTTAATAACGTCCTTATTTCATTGCTAATCAAAGGTGGTTTATGCGGTAGTTTTCGAGGCTCAAAAGGCGCAGTGACACAATCTAGTGTATTCCTAAATCCCTCGACAGTCCAGTTTGCATCAATTGACCAGTCAACTAGATCTAGCTGACTCTAGTCGGTGGGTTTCAGGTTGCTTTCAGCTTTCCAAATATTTGGCCGAGCAGATGTTTACCTGTGTATGAGAGCATAAAAGTAAAAGAGATAACTACATGGTCATTACTGCTAAGCGGAGGAAGGCACCTAATGTTACGTATATTCTCCCGATGTGGTAGCGCTAAGTCCAGAGTAGAGTTATCATATGGTGTTGTGTTGATGCATTCATATGCCGCACAAGCGCACATTCAAACACTGTCGAAACAGGTATTTAGTTAGTGGATGTTAATTCCTCCCAAATAATATATCAGGCATTAAAGTCAGCTACTATTAGATACCTAAATCCATTGCACGTCCTAAGGTGATTTATAACGTAGTCATTGTTCAAGTTAATGACACTGCTTACGGCTTCACTAGTGCCACCGTTGTGCGCTTCTGACAACGCTTACATAATTCCTGTGTCACTGTTCCGAATAAAGCCACTGTTATTATTGGTATTATTAAGATCCGTCAATGACAATGAATGGCATATCTGCTAGGTATCAGTGACTGAAACACCAACTAGATACAACTTCGGTCCAGTCTGGATGCCGGGGTAATCCTGAAGTACCTATAGTTCACCAGACATGCCTTCGCATTATCTTGTGACCAAATGTCCACTTTGATTATATATTTATCGTCCCTACCCACTAACTGCTTCAGAGTGGTATGTTGTCGAGTGTAAAAGAAATTGGATGAAAGGTAAGGGTGACCGGACAAAAACAGAATCATTTAATGAGGTCATTGACTTATAATTTGATTGAAGTTCACTAAAGGAAATTATAGTTACAGACCATGGGTTGTAAGTCTCAGAATCGATCGGATTGAGGTAAATTCGTCTGTACTTTATTTCCATCTTATTTGCAATGGCATTGGAAAACCTGCAGGGAGTACTGGACAGCTGTTCCCGTTGTCCTAGTTTGAGACCTTCTCTTCAGCAGTGCGCACCCCCGTGGTTCGAACCCACGACCTTCTGGTTGGCTAGTGGTCGCGGTATGTCATGAATTGTCATAAGTTGGAATTCATGGACTGACCACTGGATAGGGTCGCAGTGGCTCAATGGTATACGGGCTCTCTAGCCTTGTCACCAGAAGGTCATGGGTTCGAACCCTGGAAAAGGGTACGCATTGATGAAGAGTCTCAAACTAGGATGAAACAGCTATCCACTGCTTAAGATTGAAATGATAATAAGTCCATTGATAACTCTATGACTTCATTACAAAACATGACATTTAAATGTTGTGTGAATTCGTACTAGAAATGCATATATCAAAACACGTTATCCGAATAAACTCCGTTTACTTCAGGAAGGTAAAAGTATGAAACAAAGTTTGAGCTTTTAAAAATGATTTAATTGCAATACTTCCCTTGCATATTTTTTCTTCATTTTTACAGTTTATGACACCAGTTTCATTTCACAACGTAAGACGTTATATCTCCCTCTGGAAATCGGTTCTTTACAAACCGGAGTTTTCTATATAATCTCATCGTCATGTCTTTTCTGGTCGGTGGGGGTTTGTTACGTCCATCTTATTTAGGTAACATAGTTGCGTAATTTTTCTATTTCCTCAGTGCATTTTAGACAACCCTTTAGATGTGCTGGAGTTAAGAAAAAGAGGAACTATAATGAAAATCCTGCTAAATATCGACCTTCTGTACTCGTTAAGACACTTCGCGGATTTCAGTTTAATGATGGGGATTATGTATATAAAGGTGACATCTTAGTTAGACAGGTAAGTGAGGACTATTACTGTATTTGGTAAATTTACAAGGTATAAGTCACAGATGGTACAAAATTATACTTTAACCCTACTAGGCGACATCTTCAGCGCATACTTCAATTTGAAGTGAGCTTTTAGGTTTCATTGATATAAGAATAAAACTTGTGCACTGTGGTAGAGCATAATTCCATTATGGGTAAATTTTTGTTTTGATAAAGTCTCACAGTGTCATACAGTAATGTTTACTGATGACGTTTCGAGCACAATTTATTGCTCATCGGTTTCTCCACGGGTGTATTAATCATCTCTCCTGGTGACCTTGGACGTGGTTGGTTGCTTTTGTGTGTTTCCATGCCTTCTAGGTTACTTGTACTGGAACTGATTTGACTGATTTCTTTGGCTTGAACTTTGACCCTTTGTGTGTGAGGTTTCTTTCTTATCTGTTGATAAATTTTGTCTGTCTCGATGTGTTCATTGACTGACGATTCACTGGAATACCAGGCAGGCTTCTAAAAATTCTCTAGCATTCTTGGTGTTTCCTCTGTCTAATATTTAAACGCTGGTTGTCCCAGTCGAATTGATGTCCGTGGTTGTCTATATGTAGTGAGGCGTTACAAGTAGCCTAGAAGGTGTGAAACACAAAAACAACTACGTCCAAGGTCACCAGGAGAGATGATTAATACACCCGTGGAGAAACCTAAAAGCTCACTTCAAATTGAAGTGTGCGCTTAAGATGTTGCCTAGTAGGGTGATGAAAGCTTAGCAAATTAACTGTCCAGTTGAGAGAACACAACCACATCAAAATATATATTGACAAGAGTTTACGACTAGTATATGAGTGGTGTCTTCTGCAAGATCTTGAATGATGAAGCTATGAGTTGGGTTGCGAAGAGAAATGAAAAAAACCCTTGTGAAGCAACATAGCATACATGGAATAAAGACGAGAGAAACAGAATATAACTTTTGAAAATTGTAATTTCAATTTCAAGTTTTCGTATTTTGCCATGACTGTACAATACTTTCCCAAACAAACAATTCTGCTGCTAAATACCATTCCTTCCTGCTGTTACACTTGATGTCGCTGTTTTCGTTCAGACGAAGATCTCATAGCCTTCGGCTATTGAAGAATGAGGCGTCTGGGGCTTCCCGCGGTATTTCAGGGTGGTAGATGCGTTGGTACGGGTCCAGGATCCGACGGCGAGGACAGTGGTCCTGGGGACGCTTCCGAGACATCACACAAAGGCTGCTTACGACACGTGGAGTGTGCAAGTGGGAGGGTGACGCAGAAGTTACTAATAGAACTACTGAGTCTCCACTTCGATTGATATACAACAGTGTTATGATGTTGCCCAGTGTGAGTACGGATGTTAGTTGACGATAATGAATTCTTGATAATTTCCTCGTCCATTATTTAATGATTCGAATTAGTAAAATCCAGAAGACTCATACATTGAGATTTGAAACGTGTATTTCCAAAACAAGTGAGAGAAAGTGACCAAGAGTACAAAAACATGTGACATACATTGATCCAGTCACAAGGTTCGAATAGCAGGCGTTAAATGCGTTCCGGATTCCGACTAGTCGATACCCATCATGTGGCATGATTTAATTAGTTTTTTTTTTTAAAATTTTGCTTGTAGCTTGATTCCACTCAGGATTTTGATACAAGTATGGAATTTTCTGCATGTAATACCGGTAGTTTAAATTTAACAGGCCGACCAGTGATATCAGGTATGCGTATGGCCGGAGATCGAACCGCAGACCATGTGCATAGTCGGTGAGCGTCCTAACCGCTGTGCCACCGACGCACTACCAGACCAATGAGACACATTGTGGACACATGACAGACTGACAGACTAATGAGGTAAATTGTAAGTCCATATCAAACAGGCAATGCAGCAGTTAGATACCAGGAATCTGGGGTCAAATGCAGACCCACTCGTGCTTATGCTAAAACTAATGTCCCTGCTTCACCGCGCGCTCCCCCCCCCACGCCTGACAAAGAGTTCAAAATTCAGTCCACCAATACTGTTTCTCAGAAGCTGCAACTACCCGGCAACTGCATTTCATGCATTATAAGGTAGATTCTTTCTGTCAAATTAGACTAGAATTTGTGCAGAGCAATCAAGAGCAGCGAAGTGTATTTTGAGTGGCGAGTATTTTTATTCCTAACAGATACGCGGCCGCAGTCTCACCAATAGATAAAAGTCAGTGTCGCAGCGTCAGGTCATGTGCATTGACAGTTCAAAAGGTGAGTGGACATGAGTTGAAAACCTGAGCGATGTCAGAATGCATCACTCATATCGGGGATCGCAAAGCGATCTTTCTATTTTATTATAGTTGTTCCTCAGATACAGCTAACAGTCCTTCAGGCTCACTTTCTGAGGGAGGCAGGTGTGGTTATATAACGCCAGGAAAAGGGTCAGCATGTATGGCGTGCCGAGGCTTTGAAAACACTGATTAAAAGGATGTCCGTTGAAAAAAATACAAGTGTCTTTTCACTGGAGATTTAAACCCTTACAGGTACTGTGGTAAGGTGAGGCGTGAAATCCCAGTGACAGACAGATGTAGGAAATAACAATTACTTAGAACACGGAAATTTCCATGCCACTTAGAAGGGAAAGGTAGGCGATAAGTTCAGATGTTGAAGAATAATATTATACATTAAGGAATGTGATAGCTCATATAGTTAGTTATCTAGTGCTGTTAGTGGGAAAAGCCAATAGGAAGTACAGATTTTGTACTGAATTCTGAGAGCTGAGCAGCAATTCTAAAGGTTCCATTAGGATATTGGTAGGTAGCGATAAAACAATGAGACAGAGATAAGACATGGTTCACGATTGAATTTAGATATTTAGATATATTTTTATTTATTATTATTCTCTTGGGTTGAAAGTGGAACATAAGACTTCAAAAACACATCTCCACTTTCTTCTATTTTCTGCATCCTCTTCGGCTGGGTCCACGATCGCTTACAATCTCTCATCTCTTCTTCACCCCACACGATCTCCTAGAAGCCACCCTCGTACCGACCACCCACTCGTCGCTTCCCATTGGGATTCCACTCGTGCGATGTCATTCGATGACATCCTCAACGCATACCCAATCCGTCTCCATTTTCTCCTGCATATCTACTTGGTTGGTTTGTTCCCAGCCAGTCGGACTTTCTTGTTGCTAATTCTTTCTGGCTGACCGGCTGTCCATTTGATCTTCAGTATGAAGTCAGCTAACGAAGGAGGGAGCTAGCTGTTGATCAAAGTCTGTAGTGGCTTGTTGGAAATCCTTTTCGTGACATGCTGGCCATATTTATGATCTGTATAGAACGATTGACTTTAGATACATTAAGACGATTGTGTGTAGAGAAAATTCCTTATAGTAATTTTAATCCTGTGCTTGCGATATAATAATACTAAATAACACAGGTAGTTGATACAGTCACATGTAACTTGTTTAACTCAAACATTCTATAATTAACAGGACTTTAGCCTTTCAAAATGTTTGAAGCAAGCAGTCACCAAGATTCTTTCTTTGTGCTTTTTTTCCCAAGCTCTACAAAATGTTATTATTTCATAATCCCCTGTCTTTAGTGTTCCTGTCATTAGGTAACACTCCAGTCAGTGACTTCAGTGAATGGTGATTTACTTGTTTTCCGGCTATATTCGGAAAGACTCTTATCAGGCTTTTCCGTCTGTCTGGTCTTATTCATCCTTGTTGTCGTGATCTGTAGGTAAATAAACCAGGAAAAAAAGTTAGCCTACTGTTGATCATGGTGTTGTGAGGTTTGACGTTAAGCAGCTAGAGTTTGTTAAGAAGCGGAAACTCTGTTAATTGAATTCCCAAGTATTGGTTTCTCAGGGATTTTATTTGATTGATGTGCTGACATCAGCTAGAGAACCATTGGAAAACCTGCACGGAATACTGGACAGCTGTTTCCGTTGTCCTAGTCTGGGAGTCTTCACTAGAACGCACCCACCGGGGTTCGAGCTCAGGACCTTCCGGTTGCAAGGCTAGACCATTGGGACCCGACCCAATGGTCCATGAATTCTAAAATGGTCGCGCTTCTGTCATGAATCGGTGGGAGTTAGAATTTATGGGCTGACCATTTGATCGGGTCCCAGTGGCTCAAAAGGTCTACGACCTAGTTAGTCTTGTGGCCGGAAGGTCCTGAGTTCGAACCCCGGTGGGTGAGTTCTAGTGAAGAGTCCCAAATTAGTCTGATGAAACAGTTGTCCATTACTCCCCTGCAGGTTTTCCAATGGTTCTCTAACTAATGTCAGCTCATGTTGAAATCTTCCAACCAATTAAATTTGTCGTTGAGAAAAAGACGTGTTCGCCTCAGACTAGTTTTTTTTGAAGTCAGTAAACTATAATTCATCGTTCAATAATAGGATCCTCACTTGTTTCAAGTATCATCACTTTTAGATCTTTGATAATTTAAAATTCATTTCACTCAATTTACTTATTTCTTCTTCGCGTTTTGTTTAGCTTGGCATGGAAATATATCCAGGTGAATCCGTCAAACTAGATCCAGAAACTTGGAATTTGGTGGCATTATGTAATGGACGTTTCACTATTAGCACAGAGAAACTTTCGCCTTTTCCTGATAGTCCTTTATACAATAAAGTAAAAGAAGGCGACGAGATTTATAAACCGTTTGTACACGTCATTAGTGATCCAGTGGAACCAATCTACAAATTGAAGCGTTTTTTGTAGTTAACTGCAATTATAGCTGTTTTATACAATAAAAAAAGAGTTGTGTTTTTTATTTTCATCTTCAGAAGCGTGTTATGTTCACTTTCTCCCGTTATACATAAACGTAATATGTACGTACGTTACCAGGGGAACCAAGTTAGAATAAAAGTGAAAAAATCCTATTGAAACTGATATAATTAACTCGATAACTCGGTTGCCTATAAGATAAGTTTATTTTAATAATCACACCGTGATGCGGTATTAACAAGTGGATGACGTTTCCGAGCATAAATTAGTGCTACTTATAATCGTATTAATTTAGTCACGCGCTTTAATAATTTGTCTTACATACGTCTATTCTGTCTCTCCAACTTCTCTTTGTTGTTTGTTTCCACTTTCCATGTCTCCCGTAACATGGGCGTTGCGTTATTCCGATCGCAAGTGTGAGGTGTTGAGTCGATAAACAAGGCTTCAGTGATTACCTTTTCTGTCTCTCCACCAAACCTAAGGCCCTTAGAAAGTTTAATTCTACTTCTAGGTTATGGTGGAGATATGTAGGTACTTGGTACATTTACTGTGCTGAAATCCAAACATATCCCTCATTTCTACACACAATTATGAAATCTGTAGAAAACTCAATCTAATTCACGCCTGAGTTAGACAATCGGGAATTTGACTAAGTGTGACTACTTCATCATATATATCAAATTTTATTTTGTTTATTAGTCAGGATTTGCCATGCATCGGCTAACATCACACCTTCACGTCTGTTTAAACTGTTGGGATTCACCCATATATGTAGGGCTTCTGCAGTTAGTCTTTCTTGATATGAACCAAAAACTTTTTGTAAAACCTTAGTCTTATCAAAGTCGATTTTGTGTCCCGTTTCTATTGAATGTAGCGCAATCGCTGAGTTGTTTTCTAGCTTCTTCAAGTCTGCAGAGCTCTTTGGAACCACCTTTAGACATTGTTTATGCTCTTTCATTCTTATATTTACCTGTCTAGAAGTTTCTCCTACATATACTGCGTTACGATCCCCACAATTGATCTGGTATACGCAATTCTGCTGGTTTTCTTGTTCTATTTTATCCTTAACCTTCACCAGCAATGAACGTAAGGTGTTAGATGCACGAAAGTACACTCTTATGTTATGTTCGTTAAGGATTCGCTTTATTTCATCGGATGTTTCTTTGCGGTAAGGAACCACCGCTGTACTAACCCAATTCTTGGCAGCAGGTTTTGATTCATCCTTATCTTCACATTTTAAGTATCTTTTTATGAAGGCTTTAGGATAATTATTTGACTCAAGAGTGGATTGAACTAATTTTAGTTCCTCGTTAATATCTTCCTCCTCAGTAACTAGGCGTTTGGCTCTGTTGATCAGATTTTTGGTCACAGTTACTTTGGTGGTAAAGGGGTGAGCTGAATGGTAATCTAGGTATCTATCCGAATTTGTCGGCTTTCTGAAAATGTTTATTTTAAATTTTCCGTCTAATTTTCTTTTTACTAAACAGTCCAGAAACGCCAACTCATTTTCATCGGATTCAACCTCTTTGGAGAACTTGATGGTTTCTGACATATTGTTTATTAAGTGAAAAAGTTCATTTAACGAACTACGTTTGATTATGATGAAGGTATCATCATTTTTTTTTTTAAATAAACATTTTCAGAAAGCCGACAAATTCGGATAGATACCTAGATTACCATTCAGCTCACCCATTTACCACCAAAGTAACTGTGGCCAAGAATCTGATCAACAGAGCCAAACGCCTAGTTACTGAGGAGGAAGATATTAACGAGGAACTAAAATTAGTTCAATCCACTCTTGAGTCAAATAATTATCCTAAAGCCTTCATAAAAAGATACTTAAAATGTGAAGATAAGGATGAATCAAAACCTGCTGCCAAGAATTGGGTTAGTACAGCGGTGGTTCCTTACCGCAAAGAAACATCCGATGAAATAAAGCGAATCCTTAACGAACATAACATAAGAGTGTACTTTCGTGCATCTAACACCTTACGTTCATTGCTGGTGAAGGTTAAGGATAAAATAGAACAAGAAAACCAGCAGAATTGCGTATACCAGATCAATTGTGGGGATCGTAACGCAGTATATGTAGGAGAAACTTCTAGACAGGTAAATATAAGAATGAAAGAGCATAAACAATGTCTAAAGGTGGTTCCAAAGAGCTCTGCAGACTTGAAGAAGCTAGAAAACAACTCAGCGATTGCGCTACATTCAATAGAAACGGGACACAAAATCGACTTTGATAAGACTAAGGTTTTACAAAAAGTTTTTGGTTCATATCAAGAAAGACTAACTGCAGAAGCCCTACATATATGGGTGAATCCCAACAGTTTAAACAGACGTGAAGGTGTGATGTTAGCCGATGCATGGCAAATCCTGACTAATAAACAAAATAAAATTTGATACGTATGATCAAGTAGTCACACTTAGTCAAATTCCCGATTGTCTACGTCTTCTTATGGAGAGAATAACAAATGTATAAAAATTAAATTATATTTATAAAAATGTCAATTATTTTGTAACTATCCGGTCAAATCTTGATCACAGCTCATATGAGAATAGCAAATGTTTTATGACTGTTCCACCCACCCACCCACACACACACACACACACATACGCAACACCATTGTATCCTGCATATACTGCATACACACATATATTTTAACAAAAGTAGACAAATTTTGAAAGTCTGAGGTGAAAAAGTTTTTGATCATAGTTCATACAATTTTTGTTTTGTTTTGTTTAGTATACCTATTGATTCATATTTTAAGAATAAGAGATTTACTTTTATATAAACATACAATTCTATTTATTTATTTATGATACATGTTGATACCTGTTGCACGATTCATGATTGGACAAGAATTTTAAAAACAAGATGTGTCCCTTTATATATAAACCCTTGTTATGTTAATTTCGATTAATTTCCCTGAAGAAGTTCGGACCAGATTGCCGAACGAAACGTTGGAATTAATCATTTCAATTTCGCTGAGATTTTACAAATATAACTTTATAAATGTCTAGGATAATGTACATTCAGAAATAATAATATTAGTGTTATTGATCAAATACAATCAGATGGGAAATAAGACCAGTGTTTTTACAGTCAAAATACGTAACTTTTTAGAATGTGAATTGAATACATTTGAACATTATTTTTTATCCTCCTCTGATTTGACTAGTAGTAATATCTTTCACATTTCTGGTATATGCGTTAAGTCATTTCTGTTGCATATGCTTGGTGTAGACTCAATGAACCAGGGCTCAGTAATCAATGTCTCTTTCCACCTACCTACTCTACCATAGTGCCCAAGTTTTATACTTATATCAATTGAACACCTTATCAGTACTGGTCATTCGGTTTCAACAAACGCCTCCTTCAAAGTAATCTACAAAGTGAAAAATAACCTGCAATACGCTCTCGTCTCCTTTGCAGTGCTGAAGCTCTACCCTTTCAGCTATGATGGGATCATCAGCTATATATATGAAAGAAAATTATCCAACCATTTCTACCATAACGGTAGCAGCCGTGCTGATTTCTACTGACTTCACTTTGGTTGGTTAGTTTTTCTAACTCTTTATAACTCTTGCACTTCTATAAATTCTTACAAATTCGTTTCTGTGTGCATCCTGATTACAGATCACTCATTAAATTACTTATCTTACTACATAACTATAATACAAATATTCAACTGTTTCTACTCACTGACTAACACTAACAAGCAAGTTTGTAACTACTCACTCACTTCTGTTACTACCCTCTTTCATGAAGAAATTCTGTGTACGCCTAGGAAAATGAATTCTCCGAAAAAGCCGCTTCTCTGAACTACTTGTTCTGGTTTTCTGTGAATGTTCGGATCGGAAGTTTTCATGAATACTTACAAAACACGACCTAGAAAGCACCTATATATGTCCAAAACGAGTTCACCTTTAACAGTTTGAAAAATTTGAGCATTGGGTATATGATATTCATTATATTAAGGTTTTCTTGTGTTTCCGAATCAATGAAAAACAATATCGTTTTGTTTTTCATTCATTGGGAAATACAAGAAAACCTTTATTATAGAAGCACCTAATCGACCATAGTTTTGATGACGTCAGATTTACAAAAGAAGAAGAGAAAGAAATCCTACTTTCAGATATCTTAGTCGAACAGCAAAATACGGGAGAATCGGAAACACAAGTATACAGAAACCCAACCCATACAGATCCAATACTCAATGAAAACAGCTGTATACAAACATTATTTAAAAGAGCCAGAAGACACTGCAGCACTCTTGTTTTTGGGAGAGTAAAGCGAATATTCAGTAAGGCTCATTAGTTCAAGAGACTAATGAGAATTCTTCCTGTAAAACCAGGAAAATAATCATACCTTACATACAAAACAGCTCCTATACGACTACCAGTGTGGTGAGAGCAGGCTGCTAGCCAACAATAATCTACGTCAATGTCTAGGTCACTAATATGGGCCGTGAGAAAATATGAACAAGGCTGTTTCAACAACCAATCACAGCAAACTTAAACGTGGGCAAATATCATTCGCAGATAGATGGCTCCACTTTCGGAGGAACTCGAAAACAACCAAACAGAAGACTGCGTTTGCCTACTTGACTAGGCTATAATAGTGTATGTGAAATTTTTATAAATACGTGTTGATTTTCGTAATAAAACGATCTGTTGCCTGGCCCTTGTCTTCCGTTGTTACACCAGGATACTGAAAGTAGTTGCATTAGTTGTCACACACAAACTATAACTTCCTGTACATTCCATACTAGGTAAATCAAAAACATCATCAGCGAAAAAGACATAGAACCAAACTGAACGAATTGCGAAATACATTATATTAGCTGGATTTGACGTCACGTTCATTTTCGCCTCCGTGATCACAAGTCAAGAGTCAAAAGACATGACTTGAATTCATTCAGACAGATTCGCATGAACAATTAAGGGAACTAGTTCATCTCAGACTGCTAAAATCTTAGACAAGAGAAATGCAAAGAGAGCCATAGAATTCTTTGAGACCCGCTAACTGGCACAGATGTGGATAACGATTACACT